CCAAGCCATTGAATTTCTTTTGGAAAAAAATGCTTTACATATGCACACTTTCAAACATGAGTTGTTTCCCTTTCATTATGAAAAGATATCCTATGCCCATTTTTGAGTCATAGAAATTTATTGAAATTTATGAAATTCTTACTGAAAATATCTAATTAGGATAAAAGGATGAATAAACTATGTATGGGAAGCTGCATTTTCTATTATAGGCCAAGTAAATTTGGTCTTTTCTATAAAAACAAAACAAAACAAAGTTTTTTTAATGACACTATCATTATATTTATACTGTGACCACCTATAGTGTGAAGAGTTTAAAACATAACATATCTACTTTGTGTGAAGTCAAAACATGTTTATTATATATTGATAACGAGACTGTTTATCCATTGTCAATATTTTCTAAAATTAAATTTGAGCATAAAATATCTTTAAACTATAATTTGAAGAAATGCGATAACCCGGGGCATTTGAGCTTTAGCTTAAACAAGGCCAATCAAATTGATATGAGCAAACGTGATAAAAGACTACCTAAGAATGTTACAGACAAAGTTTGGTGATCATCCATCAAATATTTCAGTAGGAGATGATGTTCAAAGGATTTTCTATATTTAGCTTTAGCGGCCCCTTAAAGGGGCCAATCAAATTGATATGAACAAACTTGATAAAAGACTACATAAGAATGCTACAGACAAAAATTGGTGATCATCCACCCATTACTACTATAGGAGGAAACGTTTGAATGTATTTCTATTTTTAGCTTTAGCTGCCCCTAAAAGGAGCCAATCAAAAAAATATGAGCAACCTTGATAAAAGACTACCTAAGAATGCTACAGACAAAGTATGGTGATATCAGTAGGAAATGATGTTCAAAGGTTTTTTTTCTATTTTTAGTATTGTAGGCCCCTCAAAGGGGCCAATCAAATTGATATGAGCAAAGTTGATAAAAGACTACCTAAGAATGCTACAGACAAAGTTTGGTGATCATCCATCAATTAGTGCTGTAGAAGACATTTAAAGGTATTTCTATTTTTAGCTTTAGCAGCCCCTACAAGGAGCCAATGAAATTAATATGAGCAAACTTGATAAAACACTACCCAAGAATGCTACTGACAAAGTTTGGTGATCATCCACCTATTAGTTCTGTATAAGAAGATGTCTAAAGGTTTGTTGTTTTTCTTTTTTTAGCTCTAGAGATCTCTAAAAGGGGCCAATGAAATTAATATGAGCAAACTTTATAACAGACTACCCAAGAATGCTACAGAAAAAGTTTGGTGATCATCAATCAATTAGTTCTGAAGACGCAGACGTTTAAAGGTATTTCTATTTTTAGCTATAGCTGCCCCTGAAAGGGGCCAATCAAATTAATATGAGCAAACTTGATACAAGACTAACCAAGAATGCTACAGACAAAGTTTTTATGATCATCCATCAATTAGTTCTGTAGAAGGAGGTATCTAAAGGTTTTTCTATTTTTAGCCCTAGAGACCCCTAAAAGGGGCCAATCAAATTGATATGAGCAAACTTGATAAAAGACTTCCCAAGAATGCTACAGACACAGTTTGGTGATCATCCATCTTTTAGTTCTGTAGTTGAAGATGTTTAAAGGTTTTTCTCTTGTTAGCTCTGTTGACCCCTAATAGCGCCAATTGAAATGACATGAGCAAATTTAAGTGTGACTGTCACAAGGATGCTACAGACCAAATATTAGTTAAATCTGCTCAGCAGTTTCAGAGAAGAAGACGATTGTTGACGCATGGCGACGGACGCCGGAGCATCCCCCTTTGATACTAATAACTCACCCTGAGCCTTCGGCTCTGGTGAGCTAATAAAATATTTGGCACTTTTAGATTCAATATATGGCTCTATAAGATAGAGAATGTATCACTCTCAAAAAAATATGTTGCACTCTTTGATAGAATTTGTGGCTCTCTCTGAAACAGAATGTGGCAAATTCATGTATTGTATGTGGCACTTTCAGCACAGAAAGGTACTCAAAAATAGAATATTTGGCACCCTGAGATAGGATATGTGGTTCTTTGTGAATAGAGACTTCGACACTCAAATATAAAATTTTCGGCTCTCTGAGATGTGGCGCTCTCAGACAGATAATATGACACTGTCAGATAGATAATTTGTCAATCCCAAAAGAATATGTTACACACAAAAATATAATATCGCTATGTAGCTCTCTCAGAGAGAGATTTTGTAAGTCTCAGACAGATTATGTGTCACTCTCAGATAAATAATGTGTCACTCTCAGAAAGAGGATGTTTCACAAAAAGATAAGATATGTGGCATTATGAGATAGAGCATTTGGCATACTAAGATAGAATATGTGGTACACAATGATAGAATATGTTGTCTTAAGAAATAAAATATCGCTATCTGGCTCTCTCACATACAGAATATGGCACTTTCAGAAAGATTATGTGTTATTCTCAGACAGAAAATGTGCCACTCACAGATAAGAAATTTTTGCACATTGAGATAGAATATGAGGCTCTTTTAGATAGATAATGCGGCTCTCTCAGATAAATATAATGCGGCTCTCTCAGAGAATGCGGCTCTCTAAGATAGATAATGCGGCCCTCTAAGATAGATAATACGGCACTTTCAGAAAGAATATGTGTCACCCGAGATATGAAAGTGCATGAAAAGATAATGCGGGGCAATGTTTGCATTCTCGCAGAATGCTTATATTTTATGGGGTATAGATATTTTGACTACAGACAATTGTACAAACGAACGTCAAACCATTTACCCTAATGTGCAAAAGGAAAAGAAGACTTTTAGAAATAACATAGACACTTATTTAAGATTAGGTAAGTATTTTAACAGATTGCATTGCAAAAGTTGTATAGTTTACGTTAAATCAAGGTGTTTTTACATACATACCTCGTTTCCGATTCAGTCAAAAGAGCTGCAGTCCATTTATCTTTACTTTTTATTTTGGGATAATCAATTACATTAATGTACTTCAATCGTTAGAGAGGGAATCGTCCATTAACACTAATTATTAATGTATAATAATTATCAGTTCAAAGTATAGATGTAAAAATTAATACAATTAGCTTTTAAACGAATTCAACAGCCTGAAAAGCATATAATATTTGTAAAATACATCACATACTTAATTGAAAAAAAACTATACACAAAGGAATAAACTTAGAATTTGATTAATTAAAGTGGTTATTCTGAAAAAGAAGAGTTGGCGATTGATAATTCGCATCAGCGGAGCCCTTTTATAATTAACCTGCCGCTAGCAGATTGATATGATTTAAGATAAGATATCATTTGATAGCCAGTTAATTGTCAAGTTTTGTAAACCAAATTAATATTTTTTATCAAGAATATTTTATTCAAAAGGATGGAGCATGCTAAATGGGAGAACGTTCTCAATGTCGGGGCACAGTGCATTAAATGTTGAAAGAAAAAAGTTGACCCTCTGGAGTTTGAACCCACAACGCTGAGTTCCAATGCAATTGACAGTCATTCTAGCCTTATAACTCTTCAAAGCGGAGGTAATGAATAAGCAGGGTTATACCTTTAAATTTAACAGGGCCGTTTAAAACCTTAAATAAAATGGACATCAACAGACAAAATACAGCAACCATAATATTCTGTTTTGATGTAAAACCGTTATTTCTGTACCATGCTCTTATTGCCATATCTATTTTACTCTTTATTGTTATCACTGGAACCATGTGTACATCCGGGGCAGTGCCAGGTGTCATGATTAATTTTATTAACTTCAGAGCACAATGATCTATAGCTTGATTATGACATTCAGGTTTTATACTGTCTGAATACCTTGTCCATCTGGTAAGGTGATCATTCCGATTTCCATCAATACTGAATAGCTGAACTATTTCGTTTCCTATTGCCATTTTATCATCTTCCGTTATTGTTCCGCTGTTTGGACTATCATATTCGTGTTGCCATTTTACCAGGTCGTACTTCGTCATTATCACATGCACTTTTCCCGTGTCCGAAATTTAATTCATATTTCGTAATATAAATGATATAATACAAAAATAAATAAGTTCTTTGTAGATCGCTCAATCAGACCAGTACCTTCGGGGGACGGTTCAAAAGGTTTGTAGCATTAAAGTGTTAACTTTCAAATGCTTGTGTATATAAAAAACAATTTATTTCCAAGTTCTCATTTTGCTGTAATTAGAAAATTTCAAAAGGGAAACCAAAGATTCTACAAAAATTACTTATGGACCCAGCTTGTCACTTTAGTGTATGACGCTGGGCCAAAAAAAATTAACAGCAATGGAAAGCGGATGTAGAAATCATTTTTTATTATTGTTAACATTCATATTAAACTTACACAAGAGTTGTGCTGACTTGGGGTCGGCTTCTGTGAAGACTTTATGAAGACATGCAATCAAATTCTTCGGTGCGGGTTCGCGGCAGCTATGTACAAATAATATGGTAGTGATTTTCCACTCTTGTCTAGAGTCTGTGAAAATACTCTCTTTTAGACTACCTAATCTATTCTCTTTTTGCAATTGTTTTAATGCTCCTAGACTTTTTCCAGGAGGTATATAACCTGATATGTTTAATAAATATCATTACTCCGTACATTTAACATTGATACAGTATGTTCATTCCACATCGAAAATATTAAGGATAACTGAGTTAACTTTTGTGTACTGTAGTCAACATTTTAGTGATGGCAAATTCGAAAACAATATACAAAATCACTTCATCGAAAATGGTACCGAAGCATCAACATATTGCAGTAATGCTTCGTTGAAATTATATGGAAAAGGGATAGATAAAAGCTACAGAGAAGGTTTTATGTAATCTGTTCATTAGCGATAAATGGAAGTGCAACGTTTGTCATGTTGTTTGCACTCAAAGACATGGAATTTTATTTCAAACATACTTTCATCTCGTTATATGGAAATGGAATATTAGTAAACTGTTATGTAATTATGACTATTATCTTATCAAAATACAATGAATCTTCCTACCTCCTGATACAAGTTCAAGCAGTTCCTGTAAACGTTCGTCATCTGTGTCTTCTAGTCCAGGGAAATCATAAACCGTTGGCAGCCTAGGTTAAATGACATTGACCCGCCGTTTGCCATCTATTATGTCATCCTCTGCTACACCAACACTCTCGAACCTTTCATATAAATATTATAATTAGTGGCAATGATAACCGTCGTTGTAATCGTCAGAGAAAATACATCCTAATATTTCATTAAGAATTATTCTACAATCCAGTGACAGGTTATTTATGTTTTATTTTAAAACATTTACCTTCCTAAAGTTTTTGTCTTCGATGAAGACGACCCTTTACCAGCTTCGGCTCTGGAAATGTATTTCCCGGAAAATGCCTTCCCTATAGTATTGATTAAGGAACTCTTGCCAGCACCAACCTTTCCTATCAACAATATATTTTCCACGCTTCTATTTGTACGACTACATAGTTGTTCAATTTCTGTCAGTAGATTCTCATTTTCTTGGTCGACATTGATCTCCCCATCATTTCCTGCATGCTGTAAATCCTGTCCTGACATAGCTTTATGACGATATTTAACCTTGAATAAATGACAAATATGTGCATATTAATTAACGTCTTATCACAATACCATTGTAAATACTGTATAACATTATTATAATATTTTATGATATATTTTTTAGTATTGTTAGACTATAAATTGGTGTAACTAATTTTCATTCTTTTTATTGATATCATTTGTTTTAATAGATTCTCAGCTCAGTAAAATGAAATAACACTATCCGAAAATATGCCGCAATACGACCACTTAAAGCAACAAATATATTAATTTCATTACCAAGTAATTGTTTTTTTTGGATACATTCTTATTTATATCTATGTATTCATTTTATATTCATTTATATTTACAGTGTATGTATTATAAGTTGTCCTCGCGTGTTTATGAAAATTTGAATCTAGTCAAAAAGGAAAAATAATTGTTACACATATATATAAATATTTCTGTAAATTAAACAAACTCATTAGAAAACACAATATGAATATCCTAAAATAAATAAATAAATAATAACTAAAAACGTACAAAAAATGTACCGAATAAATAGTATATTTATTTAAATATTCTATTGTTTCATAAATAATACAATGTAATTATGTTAATAATTGACTAAATTACGTAGTAACCTGGTTAAAATTGAGTTAGTTTTTTAACTCTTATTTCTTTTATCTTATAGCCATAATATTTTTATGGGATTCCAGAATAATTTTTCCATTTTCTACTATTTTAAGCTCGAATTCTGAAACACGTAATCATTAATATAAATAGATCGAATGGATTGATTTTTCTAATAATAACATTAACACAAAATACATTTAATATAATCCAACAGTAGACAAAGGAATAAATAACAATATTATGTACATATCAATAGCTAAAAATGATTAATCACAAACAAGTTACCTTTTAAAATTAAATTAAAGAGGTACCATTTTTGGTAAGGCTTCAAATCTTGATGGTGTAAACTAAATTAATTGTCTCTTATTGTTAAAGAAATATGTATCTGACATGGAAGACGGACAACCCTCATTTGACTATATGTGGCCGTAGGCCGTGAAGTCTGCGAGAGTGAGTGCCCCTTATTTATTTTATAATAACGGATTAGAAGTAACGGTGATGGGTAAATCATATTCGGCATTTTACTAGTTTTCAAGAGGGAGTCGCTAGTCTTATTTATAAGGAACACTCAAGGAATCACATCATTCTAAAATTAAAGTATGCACATAGGCATACATATACCGCATACATTTACCGTTTCAGCCACCCAAACCCCCAATAGATAAGCGTAAAACATCTGTGAGTATATTTTAACGGGGAAACTTTGAGTAATTTATCATAAAACTGTATGCTAACATCTTAATCATCAAATACCATCCTTGCTTTTTAAATTGAATTCTTAAACATAGTTTTTAAAAGTTTATAAGGAGCATACAAGGAATCACACCATACTAAAATTAAAGCATGCACATACGCATACAAATAACGCATACATTAACTGTTTCAGTATCCCCCATAACCCCCACCCAAACCCCCAATAAAAAAGCGTAAAACCTCTGTGAGAATATTTTAGAGGGAAAAATTTGAGTAATTTATCATAAAACTGTATGCTAATCTTAATCATTAAATACCATCCTTGCTTTTTTAATAGAATTCTTAAATGATTGTTTTTTCAAAGTTTCGGTTGACAATAATTTCTTTTCTGTTAAATACAAATCATTTGTATTTTGGCAAAACTTCCTTCCTGTTAAACGAGTTTCACTTTTGAGACAATTTAAAGACAATGTTTTATGGTAATTCGTAGTTCTCTTTTGTCCATCTACAAATGATAAAATGTCCTATTTTTGATGTTGAATAATCATGGGGTTCAGTCTTATATAATGGTTGTTGTTGTTCATGGTTGTCTTGTTACAATTTTAAAACATCGGCTCCGCAAGTATACTTAGGATTTAAAAGAGTCTATTGCGAAGTTGCAGATATCAGATTGGGGGGCATTCTTGGCCGAGTGGTTAAGGTCATTGACCTCTAACCCTTGCCCCTCAACTCTCTGGGACCAAATTCCGATAAGGACTTTTAGGTTCCTTCATGTGAAAAAGCTATCTAATAAGTTTACGGTACGTTGGTGGTTTTATTAAGGTTCCCATTCGTGCCTGAAATAATGCACGTATCCAAATCGTCTCGTGGTCTGTTGATGCGACATCATCATTTGTACTTTAACCGAGGTCTTAAACTATATCGTATCATGACAGGAGTGACAGATAAATGATTTTAGTGTCACTATTTGTCTTTAATTTATTTATTTTCGTGCGTTTGCGACCAGCATATATCCAGATCAGCCTGCGCATCCGTGCAGTCTGATCAGGATACATGCTGTTCGCTTACCAACTCTATTACAAGTCTAGAAATTGATAGCCATCAGCATGGATCCTGATAAGACTGCGCGGATGCGCAGGCTAATCCGGATCCATGCTGGTCGCAAACCCATTGTGTTGGTTTCGTCGTGACGCGGCTGAATTATTAGATTATTTATTAATCACTTATTCCACATTTTATTGCATTTTAGTGTCCTGTTCTATTTTGTTATTGAACAAAACGGAATTAGTGTGACTGATAATCTTTATCACTTGTGTTATCAATTCAAGCTTTTGTTATCATTAAAAACCAGTCTACAAAATTGTTATGTACATGCTTCAAAATAAGACTTTATATAACAAACAAATTAGCATCGCGGTAAACGAAACTTTAATAGGAAAAGTCGAAAAATATCATCTACATTACATTTTACACTTCGAACAGCGGATTATTCCGTTTTAAATCCTTTATTTTATAAAGATTGATTATTATTTTTGGAATAAATTTTTTTATGTTTCGAAAAATAGTAACGGTAAACACTATAGCCACGATATCACCTAGCACTTTAATTTGCCTGATTGAGACTGTGTTCTGAAATTTTGCTGCTTCTTTAACTCCAGATCAAAAACCATAATTTCGAATTAGAACCTATCCGAAAACCTTTAGAAATTTCCGAAACAATGTTATTGTTCGCAGATGCTTATCGACCACTATACCGTCATTTGAACAATCAAACAAATCTTGCATAGCTGCAAAAACACCTCTCGCTGTTTCTTTTTAAAAAGATGTTTCACATTCAATGTTTCTGTGACCTTGGTCTTTATTCCATTTTATTAAGTTCCGCCCATTGTTTTCCCGTTTATGGTATACGCATTCATACGCCACTTGAATCATGGAATGGCGCTAACGTGTCACATTGAAGGTTTCATGATAACCGCCGTTTGAACACATCTGCGGATGTTTCAAAATTTTAAATTATACCATTTCGTGTTAAATGTTCAATACTGCTTAAACGGGTGCTAGGGATGTGGACGGTAGTTTGTACTGTACAGTACCGTCCACGAACAGGCTCAATCATACCAAGCCTGCAACATTTTCAATTTGGCACTTTTTGACATTCTTTTGGGATTCATTTTTTTCTCTATTTATTATGCACCAGTTTTCAAAAACAATAGCGGACTTCTACTCTTAAACAGTGATCATCCTACATATGACGTTTGAAGACTATGGTTCAAATTGTTCTAAAGTTCACAAGGAAAAATATTTTTTTTTACATTCAATGTCACAATGATCTTGAACTTCAGCATTAGCTCGCAAATACAATAAGGGTCTTCTATTCAATGAGGGTAATTATCGTGTGAAATTCGATGTTTATTGATCAAATGGTACTCAAGTTGTCAAACGGAAATATTTTCACATTTCAGGTCATTAAACTTGACCTCAACGCACAGGCGTTTTTACTGTATTAGTTTGTGTGATTATTTTGCGATGCTGGAAGGCCATGAGACCATTGGTTTTAAATATTCAGTCACTGTGACACCGGTTCGTGTGTTTTTTTGTTTTTGTTTTGATTTTGTTTTTCGTTTAATTTTAACATTTTCGCATTTTATTTTGATCGAGTTGTTTGATTGTCAATTTGAATATTAAAGCATTTGGTTCTTGCTCTTTTTAAACCGATAATTACTGTCATGTGATATTGTGATCACTCTTAGGTCAGATTTCCATAGTGACAGTGTTAAACTACATTTTTCACTATTTACTTTTATCTTAATCTTGATTATTGATGATTCTTGAAAATTGAGGGTTTGATTTGCTTCATGTTTAAACATCTTTCAAGTCACAAATGAGCAATGCTTTATTTGAATTACATGTAAGTCAATATTTAAGTCAACATGCATATACATATATTCAAACAATTTTTACAAATATGAAAAAAATACCGTATACCATCAAGTCTCAATAAAGTATACTTTATTGAGACTTGATGGTATACGGTATTTTTTTCCATATTTGTACAAATTGTTTGAAAACCATTTTTATCGTTGTAATAGATGTCCTATGCGTGTTTAAATATTAAACTAGATTTGACAGGGGCGTATCACGTTTGGGACAGGATCTGACCCCCAAGCGTCTGTGGTGTAACTCTCCAGGAAACTACCCGCCCTTATGACTGAAATACTGTTGGAAAAAGGCGTAAAATGAAACAAACAAACAAACATTCATTGAAATAATTTATAAATATACATAGTATATATAAAACAATATATTTCAAATATATTTAATTAAAATGACTGTTTAAATAACCCATGATATACATTGAATTATGTTTAATCATTTTAAGTGTAATTTTCAGCTGTCGATACACTTAACTGATTTATATAAAACTATCTCATGATTATAGGTAAGTAAAAGTGATACTGAACATTCATGTGACAATTATCAGACCATTCAAGTATTTCCACAGCAAATGCCAGTACTTGCACAGCCCATACCAGTACTTCCACAGCCAATGCCAGTACTTACAAAGCCCATACCAGTACTTACATAGCCCATACAAGTACTTACACAGCCAATACCAGTACTTACACAGCCCAGTCAAGTATTTGCGCAGCCAATGCCTGTACTTACACAGCCCTTACCAGTACTGTCATAGCCCATACCAGAATTTGCACAGCCAATTCACGTATTTGCCGAGCAAATGCTAGTACTTAAACAGCCCATACCTGTCCTTGCACACCCTTTATCAATTCTTGCACAGCCCATACCAGTATTTGCACAGCCCATTCCAGTATTTGAGTATTGGGGCAGCTCATTCCAGTTCTTGCACAGCCCATACCAGTACTTGCACAGCCCATTCAAGTATTTGCGAAGCCAATACCAGTGCTTACACAACCCTTTCAAGTATTTGCACAGCCCCTTCAAGTATTTGCCCAGCCAATGCCAGTACTTTCACAGCCCAAACCAATATTTGCACAGCCCATACTAGTACTTGCACAGCCAATACAAGTTTATGCGCAGCCAATGTCAGTACTAACCCAGCCCAAACGAGTATTTGCACAGCCCATTCAAGTATTTGCACCGCCCATTCAAGTATTTGTGCAGCCAATGCCAGTGCTTACATAGTCCATATCAGTACTTGCACAGCCCATACCTGTACTTACACAGTCAATGCCAGTATTTGCACAGCCCATTCAAGTTTTTGAGCAGCGAATGCCAGTTTTTGCACAGCCCATACGAGTACTTGCACAGTCCATTCAAGTATTTGTACAGCAAATTACAGTACTTGCACAGTCCATACCAGTACTTGCACAGTCAATGTCAGTATTTGCACAGCCCATTCAAGTATTAGCACAGCCCATACCAGCACTAACACAACCAATACCAGTACTTACACAGCCCATACCAGTACGTACAAAGCCAATTCATGTATTTGCACAGCAACTGCCAGTACTTGCACAGCCAATACCAGTACTTACACAGCCCAGACCACTACTTGCACAGCCCATACCAGTGCCTGCACAGCCCATTCAAGTTTTTGCGTAGCCAATTCAAGTATTTGCGCAGTCAATGCCGGTACATACACAGCCCATACCAGCGCATGCACAGCCCATACAAGTATTTTCAAAGCACATTCCAGTATTTGCGCAGCCCATTCCGTTACTTGCATAGCCCATTCAAGTATTTACACAACCCATTTCAGCATTTGCTCTGCCCATTTGCACAGCATATTCCAGTACTTGCACAGCCCATTCAAGTACTTGCACAGTCAATTCCACTATTTGCGCAGCCCATTCCAGTACAATTAAATAATGTTCACGTTTTTGTGTTTTGTATAGTTCACTCTATCCCTTCATGTACTTTTCAATGAATCATCACCGCAAGGTTTACAAATTTGTGCTCCACTTATCTATATATTTTGACATTGTGCACAATATCTATTAAGTTAAATAATTCTGTAAATCAAATTGCAGTTTCTTAATCTGAACATCAAGCTCCGCCTACTGCAATGGTCGATTCTCATATGGTTTGGAATAGAAAAATCTTTAGATATTCATTAATTAAAAAAAAACCTCCACAAGCTTACTTTTTTCTTCTTTTTTCACAATATGTTGGGCTATAAATTGACAGCTGAGCCAGAATAAATGTCTGCAATTCCAAGAGCTGCTGCATGGTCTACATCAGTTTACGGCGTCAGTGAACTTTCAATATCCCTCTGAGAGTAAATCTTGGATAAATTTATCATCACCTCCTCCTATTAGATTGAAAATTAATTCGTCCCTCATCACCAGCCTTTAGCCTATATTTATGAATTAAGTGGGCTTCCCAAAATAATTACATTACACAAACATGTATTTATTCTACCGCTGACTATACATGAAACTGATCATGCGCAATAAGTATATTTTTGAACAAAGGTCCACTTAAAGGCTGAAATTCTTAAATCAGATACACCCGAAACAAGAGGGCCAAAGAGTACCGGAGAAACAATGTCTGTGCAAGACATATAATGTTCAGGTGAGTCAAAAGAGTGTCACTTGGTGCAAAGGTAGGTCAACTGATACAGCATTTTGGACTGTGCATATACACTAAGTTCCATAGCTGCCGCCATAAATACAAATAGTGAAGTCGCAGGGTCAAAAAATTAGGTCTGCATCTTAAAATGTGGTTGTAAGGCTATACGTTATTATCAATACAAATAAGTAAGTCGCTTGGTCAAATTCGATGCTATATCTGAGACTATGCATATAGTCAACATTTCGTAGCTGTAGCTCTTTATACAAAAATTAGGTCGCTGGAACTCTGCATAAACTTCAAATTTTATAATTGTAGCTCATATTGAAAAATGAACAAGGTAACTGGATCAAATCAAGGTTGCCTGATCTCAAATAACTGTCTTGCATATTCAAATAGGCACAATTTACACAAATGAAGGTTACTAGACATGGCACCGATCCGCAGGAAACTTATTTTAACCCAAGGTCTATAATTTGAACATATTTGAAAGACCAAGATATTTTTCATGCCAAATATCTAAGCTTTAGTTGTGACCAAAGGGCTTACATTTGAACAAACTTGGTATCTACACTCAAGCCTAAGTGGTTTCAGATAGGGTTTTGTTTCAAGTTTTTTACTAGATACACCTGAATCCCAATGTCAACATATTGTTAGCCTCAAGCTATAAGATTTGAGACCCACTATACAACATATCAAATAATCTAAGTACAAAAGTTTAAATACGAGCTGTGAGCAACATAAACAAAACACCTATCACAACAACAATTATAGCAACAATCAACGCTAGCTGAATCGCATTGCGGATGTTTTTTACGAACATATAAATGTATATTGCAATGTACTTGGAAAAAGGGAGGACCAGCGATTCAAATTTGTTTTTTGTCGGACTTGGCTCAATCATTCGTCTAAGGAACTTCAGTGCATTAAAATTAATACACAGGTTGTCTTCTGTTATTCTATCAGTAAAGCTGATCCAACGAATTGTATCCATATCCAAGGCTCCAATCATATTTAGTTCATATGCTAGGTCTTTTTCAAATATTTTGAATTGGTCAATATCCAACATCAAATGGTCTTTTTCATCGTATGGTTCATAGTCTCCAGACAGTTTCAACGAAAGATTGTTATCTCTAACCAAGTCAAATTTTGTGATCACAAGAAAAATCTCAGCCGTGTCTGTTGGATAAAAATATATAACATACAGGATCTCGAATGAGCTACCATAAATGTAAATAAAGGTAAAATTTCAAGGAATAATCATGACATGGCCTATGGCGGGCTCTGATTACAAATTTACTTAGTGCTCGCCAATTTTTTTAAGCCAATCACCGACGAGGATTTTTCAAATTTTCAGGTTTCAAATCTTAATAGAACAGATTTTATATAAACTGGACGTTTTATATTATAAAACGCAAGTGGTCGGAGCACTTAGCCGGTTAGAGTGCATATTGGATGTTCTTCGTAAATAAGAAAGCTACAGTCGTTTCGCAAGCTCCGCTCCTTTTTAGCTTTCTTATTTACGAAGAACACCCAATATGCACTCTAACCTATACTTGCAGGCGTGCAATATAAAATCAGCAAACATTTCTAAAATATTATCTGCTATCGAATCTATTTCAAAATGACGGAGTCATCACGCTTTTAATACACGTGTTACTAAGATATATACACAAAAAAAAACATAAAAAAAAAAAAACAAACATGACCAAAAAAGTGTTTTGCCCTGGGCACGAAGCAACTTTCCCAATACAGTTAGCAATTTAGGGTTCGTTTTATCATTTTTTTCTTACGTATTCTCGTGACTTTCACGGAATTTATATATAGCTTTTCAAATATACGCTTCAAATAACTTATTTTTCTTTGAACTGGGTATTAATAATAATAATATTAATAATACTAATAATAATAATGATAATAATAATAACAATAATAATAATTGACCACTTACACTTCCTCTTCATTTTAGCGCGGTCCATTGCTCGAAGAACACTAGTTAAACACTCAAGAAGATTTTTGGGCATACTGTCAGTGGCGCTCTGAACGAAGACAATTTTCGATACTTTCAAAGCCTGAGATGCTTCAGGAAATATAAGTTTAAGACTTCCAACACCCAATTCTTTCTGTTTTTCCTGCATAGCTTCTATAAGTGTGTCAGGTGGAATGTATCCTGTTAGATTAACAGATAAACTTTTCTGTGTGTGAGATATATTCGGTATATTAAAATAGATGAAGAAACTTGCACAGAACTAAAATATTCATCAGGTTTTAAAAACCGACACAATACAAAGCAAAACACCCTGCAAAAATCAAACTCCTGATTACTAGTATTTTGTAGTTCCAACCAACATCAGTACCTTCAAAGCTTTTTTTTGTTGCATACAGTTTTTATCCAATCTTTATATAATTATGTGATTTTGATTAATTAATGCATGTTTTCTTCTCTGTATATGTTTAGCTGTTGGAGAAAATTTATTCAAAGATATGTGTTAAGATCATTCATTCTGTTTTATTTTCAGACATAATGTAGGGTTAAATGTGTTACATTTGAGTCGCGTCACGACAAAACCAACATAATGCGTTTGCGCTAACAGACCAGCCTGCGCATCCACGTATTCTGATCAGGATCCACGCTGTTCGCTATCAGTTTCTCTACTTGGTTTGTAAGACTGCGCAGGCTGATCTGGATCCATGTTGGTCGCAAATGCATTATGTTGATTTTGTCATGGCGCGGCTCATTTCCTTTTTTAAATCCATGCAGGTAGTTTTCGGACCAATCATATTTATGTCTGTGACAAGTCTTATTTTTAAACTTACCGCCTACTAGAAGCTCTAATATTTCACGAATTGCAGGAGAGTTCTCGTCCCCTAGACCGGCACAGTCGATTATATGTGGTAAGTTTGGTAAGATTGTGCTGATTGTATCCCTCCTAGTTTCATCCTTGATTGCTGCTAAAGTTTGTTTTGAAATACCGCAGTTGTCAAATCTGAATAATAAAAACTTTGTGAACTCTAAACAAATATAAAAATGCAGGTTTCGAAAATTATGTATCCAACAACAATAAATAGTATGAGAGGAACACACGACAACGCCGAATAATAAATACTTATGTAATGTAAATCAAGTAATTGCAGTTATCTAACCTTTTCACCGAACTATTTTGTAGAGCAGTGTTGTCCCTTTAATCATTTATATGAAAAAATCTTTATGTCAATGTTTTGTTGATATTGTTCTTGGTTTTTTAATTCTCACTCAATATTGATTTACCTGTTCACTTCCATGGTAACAGATTGCGCTTTTCCAGCACCTTGTTTGGCTATCTTGTGATAATTTCCTGTGAGAACATTGTAAATGGTGTTTACAATAGCACTTTTACCTGCACCTGTTTTACCTAGAAGAAGTATAACCTCGGTATTCTTAGGGTCAGATATTTCACACAGTCTAACTATATCTGCTAACAACTCGGCATTTTCCGTTTGAAGGTTTTTTCCATCTAGTCTTGGTTTAGATTCTACTGGTACAGCTGTTGTAATGGAAAATAATACGCACGCATAAATGTTTAACATAAGATTATATTAGAACATTATCTTCAGAGCACTATTATAACTAATGATGACTAACTAACTTAGATCTATATTACATGGCAATTACAACATTAATTTCATTGTGAACATCACAACATGAGGACATTTTTTAATTTTTAACTCGATTCATTTTTCTAATCGAATTCGGTATCTATTAATGTCACAGGATGAGAAGAATCTGCGGCCACTTACACACTATCTCCCCTACGTAGTGAACAGTTCTGAACCGTGACATAACCCCTCCCCGCTATACTGAAATTCGTCCTCGAATTTCTAATGGGTTCAGAGACCAATGTGAATAGGACTCGGAGCTTATATCATCACGGCCCCACGTTGGGCGCCAAATGTCACAGGGTGAGCAAAATGTGCAGCCTGACCGGGACTCGAAACCGGGACCCTCGGAAAACCGTACCGCGGCTCTACCGACTGAACTATCCGGCCGCTTTCACAGCATCTACCCTTAATAGTGAACAGTTCTGAACCGAGACATATATATATACATCAAAAAATGACTTTTTATTTACTTACTATCTGACATCTGCATTTGTATTTCTTTTATTTGTACAGGTAAACTGGAGTCAGAAGTTAGATCATGATTATTTCCATCAACATGTGTCAAACAATCTGTAGTAAAAAATATTGTATTGCATTATCGTAATGTACAATAAATGCAGCTGTTCTATATCAATGATTATCAGCCAATCTCTGCTTATAATTCGTATCACGTGACCATCCAATGTATAGAGGATACTGAAATACTATTTATTGAACGAGTTGAATAATATTATGCGAGCCTATACAAATATAATATTCTATTTATCTTATACCCAAAACAGAGTCTGGCTAAAATGCAAAAGAATAATCTTTCCATCTGTAACGCTAACATTTAGAGTGTCTTTACACTGTTTGTACGTATAACGCAATTGACGTCACGTCAAAATATATGTTTGGCCATACAATAATGTTTCTACTGATACACAAAAGCGGCAAAAGTATGTGATAAATTTCAATATAACACGTTGAAGCATCCAATATACTTACATTTAATTGGACCTTTTCTAAGTGATGTCAATGATAAAATCCGTTAAGGACAAACTTATCCGAATAAATTTGACCAAGAGCGTTGAAAGCGTCTTGCATAAACTAATCTGACAAGTCAAACCAATAATATATATTAAGATCTCATTTTTCGTTTACTTTTTTTTTTTTGGTTTTGATAATGAATAAACAGGCATCGAACACACAATTGATATCAATTTCCTAAATATATATATATTTATGTAACCTACCTTCCTCGCGCCTGTTAACTGTCGAATCCTCAGTATTGTCCATTCTGTAATTCTTGCTGTTTTTGTTGTTCTGTATAAACGACAATCAGGCAAATTTTCAACAATCGGTCAGTTTATTAACAAGAAAATAAAATGTAACCTACCAATAAAAATTTTGAACATTTTGTTGGCTTATTTATCTAGTGATAATTCAAAAAGAAATTTACTAGAAAGGTTTCTGTGACAAAACATATCTTTCCACAAACTATACATGGGTCAGATCACTTCTGTGAATTTTAGTGGAAATTCCGCCAGCAAATTGACCTGCGATAGCCAAACAGGAGCTCTGGCAACCATTTTCTGCAGCGAAGCAGAACATGCCGGCGATATGCACAACTAGGGATGGTAATTATCATTCATTTGAAGTTTCATTGAAATCCCACCAGTAGTTTGACCTGTGAATGCCGGACAAGATTTTTTTTACTTTTAGCTCTGGCGGCCATTTTGTGCACAGGATGTGCCAATAAGGTAAAGTACTGCTCACTCCTGTAAAGTTTGGTTGAAATCTTACCAGTAGTTTGGCCTGTGAAGGCCGACAAGCTAAATGCGGACTGCTGACCGGACGGAGGTTTAGGGGCTATTTTCTTTGTTATTTTCTTTTATCTGCTTAAGGGCTACTAGCCCATGCACCCTTTGTTCAAGTAATGACCATATTGTTCTCTTTTGTTCTCTTTACAGTTATATAGCCCCTAAACCTAAAATGTTTGCTCAGACATACAGAAGGCGAAGGTAAAAGCAATATGTCTCCCAAACATTTTGGAGACATAATGATGAAAACTTCTCATTGAAAATTACAAAGTAACCATCATTACAAATTATAACTTTATACGTGTTTGACCACTAAGGTTCGATATTTCGGCTGAAAGTAGCGTGTCTGTGCAAAGTCATTTACAAGAAGTTTTCTTGCGTGAACTACGGTAAGAAATTTACTTCATAGGTCGACTCAATGATCAAAATACCTTCCACGCCTTCCTCTGATAATTATCACATATTCACATATAATCGTTATCTGTTCTGTTTCATGCTATTAAATCAGCACGCCTAAAAAGTCCTTCATTTTCAGGAATGTCTTAGAGCGGTTTACATTTTTTGTCAAATATACAAACTGAATCTATGGCTGAAAACGATTCAGACTCCAACCAGTGACCGTGATATCTATAAAAGTTGCCGGTATATGTAGAAAACAGAATAAACTTGTGTTTCCAAACATACAATGAACTGTCTTTTGCCAAAAACAAAAAGACAACAGGTTTAAGTATAAAAAAAAATGAATCATCAATTCAGGTTTGAAACAATTAAAATGTAATGATCATAGCGTAAAAATCGTACATTCCTGAAGATGGTACAATTTTGGCTTCCGTAGATTCAATATTTACTATTTACAAAATTTGTATATGTGAGGGAATGTAGAGAGACAAAATGATGCACGTTCAAAACATATAAACAGGGTTACTTTAAGGTGGCCGCGCATACCGTACACATGACACATAACTCCCCTTTAACTACATGCTCTGACGCGCGCGGTTTATGTTTCATTGAGACTTCAATTTAATTTAGTGAAATTTTGCATAAAATTGCTCATGCCTGCACTGTGTCATTTTGAATATAAATCAAGTTAAATGACGACCTACATTAAATATGTATCCATGTATAAAGGATAAATACACGCAGTTCAGATCTCAAGCCGCGTGCTGGTGAAATAAGATACTGCACGTGTCAAAGACAACACAAAATGTCAATTTATCACTCTTCATTTCGAATGTAGAAAAAGGGCATTATTTCAGTAGACAAAAATGAAAGTAAAGGTTGATTTAAGGAAATTATATCACGTGACTTTGTGTTAACACAATACATGTATATAATTATATAAATCATACCAGATATTAGCTGATGGGGAGTATGGAGCAGAATTTGGGTATTTATTCATTTGACTAAGTACTGCTTAAGTTTAAATCATATTCCTACAAATTTGATTCATCTGTGAGTAAGTCAAAGTTCTTTACTTAAATATTTATTTATTCTTTCTAAATATGTTTAAAGTAAATTGTTATATTCTAAATCCAATGCCAGTACTTCATCTTAATTCGTTAAATTTAATATTAAATAAATTACTTTTTGTTTTTTCTACTTATTTAAAAGAAAGTGTGTTTTCTCGAAATTGTTTCTTACGAATGTATTTGTGCAACTCTTATTCCCATGTAATTCGATTCACACTGAAAATATGTGTATGTAGAGGCTATAATTGTTGTTCCATATTCTAACTTTATGAAATTATTAACATTAAATAACCTTCAGCGAAATAAAACAGGCTCATTTCAATAAGAAGAACAGAATAAACACTAGAAACCACGCGATTAATATTTGCTTTTTATGTCCTAACTGGTACCAGACTTAAAATCTTAATGACGGGAGACAAGGGGCAGGACGTGAAGTGGTTGCACACTTGGTTCAAGCGAGCGAATTGGTTGCAAACTTGACAAAATGGCGAAAACGGCGTGATTTTCTGAAACGGGTGAGCGAATTTTTGCCAGGAAAGTGGGTTTCTTTGTTATTTTGAAGTTCATTAGTATGTCTATTCCATAATACAATATATATGCCACACTCGGTTAAAGGTTTCAGCATCCTAGATTCTGTTTTGACGAAGTTATTGAAGATATAAACTGATCATGTAGATATTTTGAAACTTGACAAGTGACTGTTCTGGTCGTTTTTTCTCCTAATTTATTCGAATTTGTAAGTTTTGAACTGCATTTAACAATAACAAAATATGTTTCTGTCAATGCTGTACAAATGGTTTAGTCGCAAGTCCGAAGTTAACGTTCAATACACAAAAATATATTGTGCAAGCACATTTTGGTTGCAGACTTATACTTCAAGCATTTTTGGTTGTAAACTTATTCTTATTCTATTGAAATCCATTGTAAAACTTTGCAGTGTAGAAGGTTATATCTATTAACCTATTGTCAATGGCAATTATTGAAATCCATGTTCTGTTACTTCTTTTTGTTATAAATGTTATTTATACTTTCTTCTTTTACAACAATTATGCACTTTATGTTTTAAATTACATGGTTCTCTTTTCAATACTATAATCATCAGTAAAAGCCTGCAAACAAAATAATAGTACAAGTATATAGAAAAATATTTATTGATACTTCAATTCTAAAATATGTCATCATATGTAAAATGCAAATGAAAACTACATAGAAAACAAACGTATGTGAGAGAATTGTTGTTTTTAAGTGAATTATTTTCATCATAAACATAAGGACATGTGCACACATACGATGTTATTCGGCAAAATTTCCAAAGTTTATCAAAACCACAAGAAATTTTAATTTGTTTGTTTCGTATGTAAAGATCAGCAGTTGCTTTAGACATAAAGTATGTAAATGTACTTAAAATATTTTTACAAACCAAAAGTTAAAATGACGTACATGCTTGTTTTCAATATTTCGGATTTGATGTACATCATATGTAAAGATGATTTTGATTACATTGTATTAGATCATATATAATATAAATGATATACGATTGGTTATTTACATTACATTGACTGATACGTGACAAAACTACTTAAAGTCATTGTTCGAGTTAGGGAATTTGGAAAATGTTTCGATTGGTCAATAATAAGGAACAATTTAAAGAAACATGTGAATAATGCCCTTGTGTCAATGTTAATATAGTTTTTATCTACTATATAATCAAATTTATTTCAAATCTCAAAAAAATCAATAATGAAAGCTGTTTGTTGCTATTTTTTCTTATTGTCCTTTACAGTTAGTCATGCCAAGACATAACAAGAGCTGACGGTAGGACAGCAACGCTCGACTATTCTTAGTGCTTAATAGTAAAAAAAAATGCTTGATACAGTTACCTCCTCCTGTTTACAGGTTAGGGTAATGATGGTGAACTAGTGTGCAAAGTTTCAAAGCCATATGTCAATGAACTTTGAAAATATTTGAGGTATTACAAAACTTTAACATAAATTCTAAGTCAAAAAAGGGGCATAATTCTGTCAAAATGCTTGATAGAGTTACCTCCTCCTGTCTACAAGTTGGGGTCATGATGGTAAACAAGTGTGCAAAGTTTCAAAGCCATATGTCAATGGACTTGGAAAATATTTAAGGTATTACAAAAACTTTAACATAAATTCTAAGTCGAAAAAGGGGCATAATTCTGTCAAAATGCTTGATAGAGTTACCTCCTCCTGTCTACAGGTTGGGGTCATGATGGTGAACAAGTGTGCAAAGTTTCAAAGCCATATGTCAATGGACTTTGAAAATATTTGAACTATTACAAAAACTTTAACATAAATTCTAAGTCGAAAAAGGGGCATAATTCTGTCAAAATGCTTGATAGAGTTACCTCCTCCTGTCTACAGGTTGGGGTCATGATGGTGAACAAGTGTGCAAAGTTTCAAAGCCATATGTCAATGGACTTTGAAAATATTTGAACTATTACAAAAACTTTAACATAAATTCTAAGTCGAAAAAGGGGCATAATTCTGTCAAAATGCTTGATAGAGTTACCTCCTCCTGTCTACAGGTTGGGGTCATGATGGTGAACAAGTGTGCAAAGTTTCAAAGCCATATGTCAATGGACTTTGAAAATATTTGAACTATTACAAAAACTTTAACATAAATTCTAAGTCGAACAAGAGCTGTCGGTAGGACAGCAACGCTCGACTATTCTTAGTGCTTGATAGTAAAAAAATGCTTGATACAGTTACCTCCTCCTGTTTACAGGTTGGGGTAATGATGGTGAACAAGTGTGCAAAGTTTCAAAGCCATATGTCAATGGACTTTGAAAATATTTGAACTATTACAAAAACTTTAACGTAAATTCTAAGTCGAAAAAGGGGCATAATTCTGTCAAAATGCTTGATACAGTTACCTCCTCCTGTTTACAGGTTGGGGTAATGATGTTGAACAAGTGTGCAAAGTTTCAAAGCCATATGTCAATGGACTTTGAAAATATTTGAACTATTACAAAAACTTTAACGTAAATTCTATGTCGAAAATGGGGCAT